CTGTGGAGTCAGGTCCCACCTGCCAGGGCTTGGTCATCACAGTGTCTGTGTACCTGTGGAGTCAGGTCCCACCTGTCAGGGCTTGGTCATCACAGTGTCTGTGTACCTGTGGAGTCAGGTCCCACCTGTCAGGGCTTGGTCATCACAGTGTCTGTGTACCTGTGGAGTCAGGTCCCTGTCATTACAGTGTCTGTGAACCTGTGGAGTCAGGTCCCACCTGCCAGGGCTAGGTCATCACAGTGTCTGTATATCTGTGGAGCCAGGTCCCACCTGCCAGGGCTCGGTCATCACAGTGTCTGTGTACCTGTGGAGTCAGGTCCCACCTTTCAGGGCTTGGTCATCACAGTGTCTGTGTACCTGTGGAGTCAGGTCCCACCTGCCAGGGCTTGGTCATCACAGTGTCTGTGTACCTGTGGAGTCAGGTCCCACCTGTCAGGGCTTGGTCATCACAGTGTCTGTGTACCTGTGGAGTCAGGTCCCACCTGCCAGGGCTTGGTCATCACAGTGTCTGTGTACCTGTGGAGTCAGGTCCCACCTGCCAGGGCTCAGTCATTACAGTGTCTGTGTACCTGTGGAGTCAGGTCCCACCTGCCGGGGCTCGGTCATCACAGTGTCTGTGAACCTGTGGAGTCAGGTCCCACCTGTCAGGGCTTGGTCATCACAGTGTCTGTGTACCTGTGGAGTCAGGTCCCACCTGCCAGGGCTCGGTCATCACAGTGTCTGTGTACCTGTGGAGTCAGGTCCCACCTGCCAGGGCTCAGTCATCACAGTGTCTGTGTACCTGTGGAGTCAGGTCCCACCTGCCGGGGCTCGGTCATCACAGTGTCTGTGAACCTGTGGAGTCAGGTCCCACCTGCCGGGGCTTGGTCATCACAGTGTCTGTGAACCTGTGGAGTCAGGTCCCACCTGTCAGGGCTTGGTCATCACAGTGTCTGTGTACCTGTGGAGTCAGGTCCCACCTGTCAGGGCTTGGTCATCACAGTGTCTGTGTACCTGTGGAGTCAGGTCCCTGTCATTACAGTGTCTGTGAACCTGTGGAGTCAGGTCCCACCTGCCAGGGCTAGGTCATCACAGTGTCTGTATATCTGTGGAGCCAGGTCCCACCTGCCAGGGCTCGGTCATCACAGTGTCTGTGTACCTGTGGAGTCAGGTCCCACCTGCCAGGGCTTGGTCATCACAGTGTCTGTGTACCTGTGGAGTCAGGTCCCACCTGTCAGGGCTTGGTCATCACAGTGTCTGTGTACCTGTGGAGTCAGGTCCCACCTGCCAGGGCTTGGTCATCACAGTGTCTGTGTACCTGTGGAGTCAGGTCCCACCTGCCAGGGCTCAGTCATTACAGTGTCTGTGTACCTGTGGAGTCAGGTCCCACCTGTCAGGGCTTGGTCATCACAGTGTCTGTGTACCTGTGGAGTCAGGTCCCACCTGCCGGGGCTTGGTCATCACAGTGTCTGTGTACCTGTGCAGTCGGGTTCTACCTGCCAGGGCTTGGTCATTACAGTGTCTGTGTACCTGTGGAGTCAGGTCCCACCTGTCAGGGCTTGGTCATCACAGTGTCTGTGTACCTGTGGAGTCAGGTCCCACCTGCCAGGGCTTGGTCATCACAGTGTCTGTGTACCTGTGGAGTCAGGTCCCACCTGCCAGGGCTCGGTCATTACAGTGTCTGTGTACCTGTGGAGTCAGGTCCCACCTGCCGGGGCTCGGTCATCACAGTGTCTGTGAACCTGTGGAGTCAGGTCCCACCTGCCGGGGCTCGGTCATCACAGTGTCTGTGTACCTGTGGAGTCAGGTCCCACCTGCCGGGGCTCGGTCATCACAGTGTCTGTGTACCTGTGGAGTCAGGTCCCACCTGCCGGGGCTCGGTCATCACAGTGTCTGTGTACCTGTGCAGTCGGGTCCCACCTGCCAGGGCTCCGTCATTACAGTGTCTGTGTACCTGTGGAGTCAGGTCCCACCTGCCAGGGCTAGGTCATCACAGTGTCTGTGTACCTGTGGAGTCAGGTCCCACCTGCCGGGGCTCGGTCATCACAGTGTCTGTGTACCTGTGGAGTCAGGTCCCACCTTTCAGGGCTTGGTCATCACAGTGTCTGTGTACCTGTGGAGTCAGGTCCCACCTGCCAGGGCTTGGTCATCACAGTGTCTGTGTACCTGTGGAGTCAGGTCCCACCTGCCAGGGCTAGGTCATCACAGTGTCTGTGTACCTGTGGAGTCAGGTCCTACCTGCCAGGGCTCCGTTCCCTAGGACTCTCCTCCCCTTACTTGAAATTCCAATCACAAGTGTAATCTCTTCTACTCTGACCCACCTGCTATGGATCGGGGATTCCTGAGACCCCTGATAAGTTCACAGGACATGGGTTGTGGGGTGTGAGGAGCCTCCCGGCCATCTCAGCACCCTGTGCCCTGTGACCAGGAAGCTGTTTGTACCCCTTCCTGGGATCTTACAAAGGCTCCCCCCATAGTGGTGATCCATATCCTCTCTCCTCGTGCTCTGTGTCCTTTCTAACTCTAACCCTGACCTCAGTCCCATCCAGAGGGATTCGGGGCTCCTGTCACAGGGTTGCAGACCAGATATTAGCATGGAAGCTTCCCCTAGTCCTTCGACTCTTCAGAAAAAGTACACAGTTTTAGGGTCTCTATCATAAATTAGGGATAAAAACAAATTACATTTTAAAGTTACAAACCACAGTTTCAGAGACAAAAAATACTATGCACATGTACCAATGCATGGCTGAGAATGCCCCTGGACCTCCAACCGTAATGTGCCCCAATCGAAGATTGATTTTCTTTTAATCCCCCTTCGTCTCCCAGGTCCCCCCTTGGATATGCATGTCCCCACCCAGTTTTATGCAATTTGATTTCCTCTTCAGGGAGGCAGCAGCTGGCCAGGCCCTGGTGTTTGCTCGCCATGCAACCCCTCCGGTGAACACCAAGATCAAGTCCACTTCTGTGCTGGTGCACCCCCTGACCCCCCGCTGCAGGACAGTGGCCTGTGCCGTCTGGCTTTGTGGGCAGTGTGAGCAGCCTGCCTTCCGAGCTTTGCATGCATATCCATTAATTATCCTCTCTCCCAAGCTGGCTGCAGTTGTCGTCTTTGTAAGGGACAGAGATTAGCTTGGAACTGTTTTGATTTACTGGCTTATTGATCTTGACCAAGAATTCTTTTATTTGAAACTCTTCACTTGGAAAGTCAATTTGATAGCCTTTGCCCATTCGTTTTGAAGGTGTCAGTTACAAGTAGTCTTGCTGGTGAGTAATGGAGTGGCTGAAATTACTAATAAATTAATTAGAATGTATTTATAAACCCCGTGGAAAGCCAAGAATGAGGTTGCTTTTCTATTGATTATTCTACTGGTCATTAACTGCTGAGAAAATGCCATTGTAGCAAGTGGAGACTTTGGCCACTTCCTTTGGTAATTGTAGGATTCTGTCATTATGATTTCAGTGTTCTGGAAGGTAATTACTCATTCCCTGCAAGTGCCCAGTGTGGGCGGGGTGGTGGGCAGTCTGTGGCCAGATGAGGGACGCAAGTGGAAGCCAGCTTCCGTGGGGTCCTCTCCTGACAGTCAGTGCTCACCTAAGGGAGTCGTGGTCCAGGTTTGGCTTGTCAGGTGTTCATCGAGGTCAGCACGTAGTTCTGCATGGATCTGCACCACAGTGTGTGGATTCCCGGTAGAGAGAGCTTTGGGACGCCCCCTCCCTTGGGTCTGACCCCAGGATCCCCGAATGCAGGGCACTTTCCTCGGAGGCCTGCAGTGGCAGCCTCTGTGTTTTAGTGGTCTGGGTGACTGTTTCTCCTTCAAGGGTTGGTGCCCTCAGCTGTGCCAGGGCAGGGACACTGTGCATTCTCACTCAAATCTGCCTGCCTGTCAGGGTCAGAGCTAAGTAGAAGGGTTAAGGTGGCAGGATCTCACTATACCTCTGTACCCAGGGAAGGTGGCTAAGGTGTTGGGTGCATGCCCCACCCCACTGGCCCAGCCCTGTACCTCCATGCAGAAGTCTCTGTGGATCAAGGACAGTGCTTGGGACCCGTCCCCGTGGTGAAGTGAGTTCTGCTGTGTCTCCAGCACCCGGACCAAGGTGTGGAGATTCTGCAGCAGAAGGCTGTCTGGCCTGGCTTGGGGACAGACTGTCTGTCTTGTGGTATAGGTCAAGGCACAGGAATCAGGGTGGCCCTGCTTTTAGCAGACCTTGGAGCTGTGAACCAGGACGAGGGTCATTGCTTCCATTCTTTCACATAAGAAAACTGAGCCCCAGAGAGGAACTGGGTGACGCTCGTCAAGGTTAGGGCTAGTGGTCTGGACTGGAGGTTGCTGAAAGAGTGGCTTTTCTATACTCTCAAGAACAAGAAAAAGCTCATCAGGAAAGTGTGTTTAGTGGTCCACATTATGTGGGTGTCCCAACACGTCATGCTCTACACACTGTGAGCAAAGGCATCACATATCTATTCAACAAATCTAATACAGAGAAAGTTGAGAGGTACCAATCTGATGAAAAATTATGTATTCTGCCCCAGTGTTCTTTCCAGTAAAGGAAGATACGGATAAAAATTGCACCTTGCGAGGCCAAAAGGACCAGGGAGGACAGGATAGTTACGTGGCTTCTCACCTTTTCCCCCTCTGGAATCAAAAGTGATACTCAGCTGTCAAGTGCTAAGGACGAGAAACCCCACAGACAGAGGGAGCCCAGCTGTGTGGGCCGAGCAGGCCCGTGGCCTGTCACCCGTGGCCTGTCACCTGTGGCCTGTCACCCGTGGCCTGTCAGGGGCGGTGGCAGCTCCTGTGGGTGTTGCAGTGACAGGGACCCGTGGGTTGAACCCGCTTTCTGGAACTCAAGCCCCTACAGAACAGAGACAGTGCCCAGTTGTCCCTGGCCCCAGAGTTTCAGGTCCGAAGCCACAGCAGCCTCCCCTGCCTGTGACTGAGGGTCACCTCCCTGCCAGCCCGAGGGGATGACCCACAGAGCCGCAGTGGACGCTCAGCTGTGCTCTTTTTCTCCTCGTTCAGTTGTCTGCTTTGATGCCAAGATAAACTTTGACGACAACGCTGAGTTCCGCCAGAAGGACATATTTGCCCTGGACGACAAGTCGGAGAACGAGCCCATGGAGAACGAAGCTGCCCGGTACGACCTCAAGTACATCGGGCTGGACGGGAACATCGCCTGCTTCGGTGAGAGTCCCCGGGCCATCAGGGTGTTGCTGGATTTTTCTAGAATTGAGCAGCCCCAGGGTTCCCGGGTGTTGGTTGCCAGGAGCAGGTGCAGGCAGGGGTCTTAGGAGACCATACAGAGTCAGTTCTCAGAGTCCACTCCAAGGGCCGTGGGTACAGCCAGGTGGAGCACTCACTAGTCATGAGAGAGGTCCTGGGCTTGACCCCAGAACCGACCCCAGAGAAAGTTCTCTCTGGTCAGCCCCCACTGGTCTAGAGCAGGGCTTCTCCACCCTGGCCCTCCTGAGGTGTGGGCTAATTCTGAGCTGGAGGGGCGGCCACGGTGCTGTGGTCAGCCATGTTCCTGCGTACAGGTCCCACGGTGAAAGGCACAACCCCAAGCTGGTGTCCAAACCTCCCTGGTGGAGAATCATTTCGCTTGGTGAACTGGTGAAACACCCTTTGCCCCAGGACTCTGTGCCAGTGTGCAGGACTATTAAGGAGATTTGGGTTCAAACAAAAATTGCTGTTTCAAAGGAGGAAGCACACCCTCCCTGATTCTATGGTAGCTGAATGACAAAACACTTATTCACTTTGCCAGCCTGTTAATAGAAACACCAATTCCTCCTGGTTGTCCATGTGTGTAAGTGACTCATTCAGCGGAGGTAAGGACGGGTCGGTAAAGGCATAAAGAATCCTGTTATTCTGCACAAGGTTACAGCGCAGAGATGTATATACTCCCAACTTAATTGCACAAGATCCTGTTTCTAGTAGAAACAATTCATGGCTCTGGAAACTGAGGTCTTTATCTTAATGGAATTAAAATAAAAAAGATTTGTTGTGCATTAAACCAACAGCATCATTGTATTCAGAACTGAAGAGACCTCATCCCGTAGTTTGTTGTTCAGTACAGTAGAAAATGACATCCTGTCCCCAGTGGTCCCAAAGCTCTGGCTCTGCACTGGAGCAGTGAATGTAAACGTGGCAGACCACGCACAGCGTCTGATCCTGATGATCTCATGTGCTCCCTGTGTTGTCGGCACTTGGAGCAGGGAAGAGAGTGGTGTGTTGAGAGCAAACTAGACACAGATTCTTTGCAGCCTCTGGGAAGTGTGCATGAATGGACCAAGGAGCTGCCTCCCGAGCTCCCATTCACAGGTTTTAAATTGCTCCAAGATCCGGTGTAACCCGTTTTATCTTAGTTGCCCAAAGACTTAATTCAGTTAGTCACAGTCTTAGGCTTGTCAGGGGAATTCAAGGGTCCCAAAAAGGGAAGGGCTGTCACCGTTTCTGCTGTTTGGAGGTCCTCCCTGCCTCCCTCCCTTGCCTTTTCTCCTTTTTTCCTTCTAACCCGAGAAAAGCAATTCCACATAATTAAGCTAAGAAATGCAATCGATCCGTAATACGTAGCTCTGGAAATAAGAATTTCAACGTCACAACCCTTTACTTGGTTGCTTCAGAAAGACTGCTAAACAGTTGCCGAATCTGGGCTCTAGTTATTTTAATAAGTGGTGAGCATTTCTACAGTAATTCACAGAGGAGCCAGGTGGAACGTTGTCGTGGGTCTGTCGTTTGGGACCCGGTGGCTGCCTCCAAGGGATGCCCCCTGTGACCAGCATGTTCTCCCAGGCACACAGTGGAAGGAGCTCTGCTCCTCTCTTGGGCCTCTCGGGCTCCTGGCCCCCGCTCACCGCTGTGTCCACGCTCACTTGGCCTGAACTTGGCCTGCAGACCTTGCTCCTCACCGGCTCCTCCTTCCTTCCTGCTTTCTGCGTCTCCACAGGTGCTCCCCATTCCCAGTTGGAAATCACTTCCCGACTTCACCATGAGCGTGCATGCACGTCTGGGGTGGAGTAGACTCCTGAGGGGGCAGGTGTGGGCGGGAGTGGCAGGCTGCAGTACTGGGAGGTGCAGCCCCGGGCCTTGCACACTGCTGAGTGCCTCCTGTCTCCTTTGCATCTCACAGTGAACGGCGCGGGGCTCGCCATGGCGACCTGTGACATCATTTTCCTCAACGGCGGGAAGCCAGCCAACTTCCTGGATCTTGGTGGTGGGGTGAAGGAAGCTCAAGTCTATCAAGCTTTCAAATTGCTCACGTCGGACCCCAAGGTAATGCCCGTCTCTGTGGCGACTGCACATGCTCTGCTGGCTCACCGAGCAGAGCCGCCTGCTTCCAACTGCTGAGCAATCCACAGTGGGTTTTGTGGCAGGCGGGAGCCCCGCCTCTGCCACTGTCACACACATAGATTTAACTCTCCTCGTGGGTGAGAGGCTTGCACGCAGCCCCCAGGATCTCATTTTGGAGGCTGTACTCACAAAGGCTGGGGAGGCGGATGGCCATAAATAAGATGCAGCAAGTCACAGAAACCCGAGAGGTGATTCACGCTACAGCCACTCATCCTGTGCTCACCTGGCTTGGAAGGGTCCCGCCACATGCTCCTTCCCTGAAGGTGCCACCATAGCACTGGAAAACTGTACCACTGCGGGGCAAGTGTCCCCCTGGGTACCTAAAGGGCCTGATGGCCTCGCCTGCTGGGTGCTGTTTGGTTTCCGTCTCTGACCTCACAGTTTGTAGCACAGGCACTAAGCCCAGCCTGGCCGCAGGCGGTTTCCCGGTCTGGAGCTGCCTCCTGTGTGTCTCTTCTTACCTCGAAACGCAGCAGCTGACCCGTGGTAGGTGACTGGACGCCTTCACAGATGTCCAGTTGTCTTAGGCAACTGTGTTCAGTACCAGTTTGCTTCTCTCCAGCCACTCAGCAGGGTGAAGGGGGTGCTCGGACATACAAAGACAATTTTTTGAGTGTCCCATATGTGGTGTCCATTTAATCCTCTTAATGGGACAGTAGGTCAATATATGCCACAGCCATTGGACATTAAATCTGAGTCGGCGTCTCAATATTGTTAGGGTGTCTAACAAATTGTTACTGAATTGTCTGATCTATACCCAGAAAATCATGAACACAAACAATACCAGAGTCAGGTTTTTGTAGGAAATGCAGCCTGAAGTTAAGGCGGACGCTTCCCGTCCATGAGCAGCCCGTTTGGGTTCCCGTGCCGGCGTGTTTTCTCTCGTGATCTTGGCAGTGCTGGCTGTGAGTATGGCTCACCTCTGTTTTCTTCTTCTGAGTGACAGAGTCGGGGTAAGGTACCCTGAGTTGCTCCCTTCCTTCTCCATTGCAGCCCAAGGTCGCCCACCTTGAGCAGGGTGTTGGCCAAGGAAGACCTTTCTGTTGAGCTACCACTGCCCGTGGGCCAGGGGGACATGACCAGCCGCCCCCTATCCTTCTTCCTGCTGCTCTCTGAGGGAAGAATCATTTTCTCCCAGAGATTCCCAAACCAGTTTAATCTGTAGAAACCGTGGACCTGACACACAGCTCCTCCTGCTGCTTGAGCCACAGGGCCCAGAGGACGGATGGCTGTAATAAATACTGGACGTTTAGCGTCCACTGAACCTCAGTGCTGAGGATACAGCGCCATCGGGGACGAAGTCTGCCAGGACAGGCAGAGGGTTTTCTTTGAAATATCTCTTCTGGGCGGCTGATGTGGAATCTTAATTTTGTAAAAATACAGGGCGGAGGGGGCTGAAAAGTCAGCTGCCGAGCGGTTTTGCCGTTGCTGTTGTGGAAACGTCTCTTTAGTAGTGCTGACTTTACCTTGTGGAACATTCCCGAGCACTTCGACCCTTTGCAGGCTGGCTGTCGGCTCGGGTGGGTAAAGGTACATGGGGGCGATCTCGCTCTCCTTGTGCTAAATCAGGAAAATGGATGCATAGCTCTTCTCGTGGTGCACTTTCCGAGTCCTGAAATCCCAGAGCCCGTTAAAAAGCATGGCGCTGCGGTGGGTATTTTAATCCTGGCGTCGTTTCCGCGATTCGGAGGAGTTGGAAACAGCACAGAGGAGTTGATTCTACAGGGAGGCTGAAGGAGCTCTGGCAGTAATTACATCAGGTGGAACCCTGTGCACCTGCCCAGAAGCAGAGGTTCCCAGGAGCCAGAGCTAATTGTCTCCGCAGTATCGATCCCTGGTAGGTGCATATCCTGCTTCGTCAGGTGCATATCCTGAAACTCAGCAGCACAGAAGGCCTGTTAGGGGTAAACTTAGATGAACTGATACTAACAGCTACTCGTTGTCACATGTAAACATGATCCTATTGATCAAGTCGAGCACAGATCATTCCAGAAACATATTGGACACGTTTCCACTGATGGTGTCAGCCACGGAGCTGCTGCCTTCCCCTCGCTGGTGGGGGAGCCCGAATGTGGCGGGTTTTCTCCTGGACCCAACACAGCATCTTCACCGGCACACCGCTGGTTGGTTTGTAACATGTGAAACAGGGTCCGTCTGCCTCACCATCCACACCAAGGCAGCTCACTCCCCAGACTGCGTCCTGCCCAGGGGCATCGTGAACACTCCACGGTCGCTTGTCTTCAAGCTGGGCTGGCGAGAGCCTCAGGGAGTTGACTCTGCTGGTGGCAGGGTTGACCCAGTCTCGTCTCCCTTTCCATCTCCAAGCCCTAAGCTCCTGCACTCCTGGACTCCCAGGCAGGGACGAGGGTGTGGAATGGACTCACAGGTGGGGTTTTGAGCGCGGTTTTCTGGGGAAATACCAGGGTGAACACCATCCATGACTTTTGTGTCTGCCCGCCGCGTGTGCGCTTGTTGTGACTCCTGCTTCTGTTTCCAGGGGTGTAGGGATGAGCACAGGGTGTGGGGGCTGTGAGCACCACTGTGGAGACCAAGGGCAGAGGACGGGTGGCCCGTCTCGCACGGACCCCCATCCGCGGCCGAGGCTGAGTAATGGCTGCCTCAGGGCTTTGTTCTGAGACACAGTGGCAAGGGAGTGGCCTGATGCGGGTCCAGCATGGAGCCACTGTGCCTCTCACGCACCCACTGAGAAGGGTGCTGCCTGGCTGAGGAGGGCGTCCCTCGTGGGCTGTGCGGCTGATGGCCGGGTTTGTCCTGCTGTCCCTCTTTCTGTTGTGGGGCCTCAGGCATGTTGTGTAACTGCTGTGTGCCTCGGCGTCCCCCCTTCATGCAGTGGCAATAAGAACAGTGGCCACCTTACAGGGTCGTGGAGTCGGGGCATCACAACACGCTGGGCACCTTGTTCAGATCCGACCTGCGTGTGCACACTGCCCATTGGTCATGAAGTAAGTGTGCCCGCGTGGCTCTCAGCCAGGTGCCAGAGGAGGGTGGGGCGGGCCCAGCATCCTGGAAGGTGCTGCACTCCCCCCCCCACCACCACCTTCCCCATCTGCTTTCTCTTGGAAGGTGGCCACTTCCTAACCCCGTAGTGTGGGTTCGTCTCTCCTGGGTTTGAGCTTGATGCAAATAGAACCTTAAGCTGCGCCCTTCTCCACGCCACCAGCAGTTCCTCCCTGTGACCAACCCGCTGACAGGCGCTGCCTACAGGAGGCGAGGTGGCTTTGACTCGTGTTTCAGAGGTCAGCCCGGGGAAGGTTGACCCCGTTGCTGTGGCCCACAGTGTGGCCCAAGGTGAGGTGGCACATCACAGCAGAAGGGCGTGGGGCGGAGGAGAGCTGCGCGGCTCTACAGGGGTCAGGAAGCAGAGAGCGCTCTGCTCACCACGGGCAAACCATGGACCCCAAAGCCACTTCCCCAGGGACCCACCGCCCCCAGCCCCACCCCGCCTGCCTACAGGAGCCACCGGTAGTCCATCCACTCTCAGTCCGTGGATCCATCTCTGAAATCTAGACAGGCAGGAGCTTGGGGGACGCCTCACCTCCTCTGCAGCAGTCGCCTGCTGTGTTAGCGCCTGTCTTCCTGGCTGGTGAGGCTGAGCATGCGTCCCTGTCCCCCCGCCCTTTGGATGCTCTCTCTACGCGGCCTTTGCGGAGTCTGTTAAGCAGACGGGGAATCGGCACCCGGAGCTTGGTCTAAGAGCCAGCGTGGCCAACCTTCCCAAAGCACAGAGAAAACTTGCGCTTGTGGTTTTGAGTGTTTCATTCCTTGTCGTTTCTGAAACGTGGACATCTGTGGATGTCACGGCCATCTATCTGCAGGAAAAGGGGCCCAGTGTCACGGCCTGTGCCACTTCACAGTTGATGAAAGGCTAAGAGGATCCTCTCTCTGGCAATAATCCTCCGCTCAGACAACCAGGAAAACACAGTCCAGTGACAGAGCCACTAGACATCATCTGGGATAAGTCTGAGGGGACACCAGCTCATTTAGCTCTGTGGCATGTGCCTCCATGTCCTTACACACTCAGGCTGGAGGAGTAGCCCTGCGTGCCCTATTTCCAGTATTAGTTTATGCAAATAGCTTAAGTTTTAATAAATGTGCTTTGGGATTAATATGTGCTAAATGTCTCATGTTTTTAAATTATTGTACAGTTAGAGTCGATGTAACCATAAAGCAGAATGTCATCTTTTTATCCTAATGCACATTTACATCAGAGGCATGGGGCTATTTAAAGATAAACTGAGATAAAAATTTAAAGAGTTTATTTGAACAAGCAGCATCTCCAAACCAGGGGAGGTTCTGAGGCTCCACTGAGGGGAAGGGAGGGGAAGGCTCTTATGGGGAGGCCAGAAATATGGCAAAGACGGAGTCTGCCTGGTGACAGTCACACAGTCGCTTTACTGGCCCGTCCCACTGGAAAGTCCTGGTTCTGTTACGGTAGCTTCGTTGGCAGAGTAGGTCCCAGGGTTTTGAAATGTAGGCGTTGACAAGAAACAGGTCAGGCCTTTTGTCCCTGTCTGTCGGTCAGGCGAGGCCCCACGCACCCCAGGGGACTCGTCTGCTCCCTGGCCCTCTGCGTCAAGTTAACAGAGCCACACCCATTTCAGCACCTGCTCTGAGCAGGCTGAAGTGCCCCCAGGGCCTGGGGGTCCTGCGAGTTTGTTCTCCTGTGGCTCCGTCGCCTCATGACAGTGTGTTTTAGTGACCCCTGGCTCCTGTGGTCACAGGCTTGAACACAGGCCTTGGGGTGTAGCTGAGCAGGTGGGTGCAGGCAGCCTCTTGGTTCTGGTGACCACTGACACGTAGTCCAAGACGACAGCTGGCCTGCTGGAGCCCACCCCCGCCACGTGGCCTCCCTCACACCTAGAAGAGCCCCCAATGTTTCCCTCTCCTTTCTTGGAGGGGGT